GAGCCTGTTTTGCTTATTCCTGGTCACATCTCACAGCAGACACCAGGGTGAAGGCATTTTCATGGGGGGCACTGGCTCTGTGCCAGGCTCAAACCATGACACCAGAGAAGAATCTTGAACCCTCCACCTAGAGTGATAGATTTGTTGTGGGGCTTCTCAACATCACTTATCCAAGCTAACATTCTTCTTGCACCGGGATGTCAGTTCTACTCTGTGTGAAGGTCTGGTGTTTTTTTTTAATGGACATCTCAATCTCACATCACCTCAGAGGGATGAGCAGGAAAAAGTGTGTAAAGAGAACTATTTCTATAAAATATAAGGGTCTTTCTTGATATTTGTTAAAATGCCTAATAAATTATTTGGTATCAGGAATTTTTTTATGTAAATAAGGTTTGCATTTGTTTATGAAAACTTTTTCTAGTGTCACTATTATTAAAGGTAGGAAATGGCTGAATTTTTTCTATAACAATGAGAAAAGTTTTATTAATCTTGTTTAGCACTTGACAGTCATGTTCTGATCAGTGTCATTCATTTAGTTTCTATAAGCCCATGAAAAAAGTTTATAAAAGTATGCAAGAAATAATTAGGTAAAAAAATGCACTTCCTAGCCAATCTGAAGCAAATAAGTACCCAGATAATACCAGGCTTACTCAAAGTGTCATGAGAAACAGCTGTTTGACCATGCTGATTTCATACTGAGGATTCCTGAGATTCCTGTAGGATTTGAGATTTTTACATGGTCTGGTAGCATGATAAGCATAGTACTTTAATAACCATCTTACTAGTTTTCTGGTATCATTGTTATGCTGCAACAAATGTAATCTCTTTATTACCTGGTACCTTGCTGTCTGTGTAAGATCCAACAAGAGCATAAGTGCTGTAAAAAGCTGGTGCTCAGAAATCTTGAGGAGGGTGGGTGGTCATCAATTTCTCTGTGGAGAACCTGGTAAATAGTTAGGGAGATCTTTTCTCTCTCACTGTGGACACAAGGGCTTTTAAAGGTCTTTTGCCCTGATTTTGTTCAGCTGTCATGCTACTTTATAGATGAGTCACAAATGATGTCACAGGAGGAAGAAACTAAAATTCCTGGTGTGAACATCTTATACACGTGGCAAAGCATGACCAACAAAGAACAACAAAGTTGTGAAGTCTTAGTCTAAGGATTTGTAGGGAAAATTCAGGAGGGGTGTTGGAAAATGACCTATTAACATATTGGCACAGTAAAATAAAGCACTTTTTTTTCGATACAAATAGATTAGATCATAAGATCTGGCACCAGCACAAGTGGAACTGAGTTTTCTTGCCGTGAATCACCATTTTGCCTGCTTCACCATTCAAATGGCTTCATCATTGGCATTTGGACACCATGGAGAGGGCATCAAAACCTTGATGGGAAGTCTGGATTTTGACTCTTCCTGGATGGCTGCTTGTCACAGCTTTTGTGTTGGTGCTGGGAGTTGCCACTGTCCCTGGAGGCAAGGAGACAAATAGGCTCACAGAGGGTCTGGTGAGGCTCCCACTCACACTACTGAATGTTGATATTTGCAATCTAAATAGCTGCTGTCAATAGATATCTTTTCTGGGACAGGGGGTAGAGATTATTGAGGAGTCACATGTCTGGACAGGGATCAAAAACAGCATCCGTATTGTCAGTCAGGAAACTCTGCATAACATTGAGTGAAAACATGAGTAAAACATGCCCAACATGATTTTACTGGAAATGTCAGGCTTAGCTGATCTAAAAGTATTTTTGACAAGCCAGTGGTTCTTTGTAGTACTAGCTGGAACTTGCTTTGAAGTGACTTTGCTGCTTTTTTATACTGCAAAAGCTCAAAGGTCAGTAGATTTATCCATTCCAAGGTCTCTGTGGAGAGGTCAGCTCAAAGCTTCACTCTGTTTCACTCATTCAAACGAACACGGGGAGACTGCAGAGGTTACTTAGGAGATAGGATTACAGTGTCTGCAGTGTGGAGAAGGTGTGCCTCTCAATGTCCCTATTATAGCTGTTTCTATGTGAACAAATGACCCAATTCATAAACCAATCTTTCGTGAGATCAGCGTGCTCTACACAGAATCTCTAGAAATTTATCTACATTAATAATTAGCTGTATAAAGGTATTATCTACCATCAGATTCACAGGACTTGAGGGCTCTGCAGCCATCAAGGTAAGACCTGTAGAATATGAGAAACTGTATTTCTGAGAAATAGTTTGTCCTGAAAATTTTGGGTTTTGCCTCTGTGTTTGTTCATGTGTGTGTAACCTTTTGTTTCAGGCATGCATCCTCTTCTGCTTATC